GGCGTGAGCTTGCCACTTGACTGCGAAGTGGACGCAACAAGGCGTAAATTATCGTGTCACCGAAAACAGGCTTTTAGCCAGCCTGCCTGAAAGTAGACTACACATTCCCGGTCGCTTGCCTGTTGGCCTGTCAATTATGCGATTCCATATCTGCCTTGGCGGACTCACATCACTGGTCAATGGCAATCAGGCAGCGCAATCAAGGCCAGTATCACATCCATCGCATCGCGAGCAGCCATCAACTATGGCTGGCATTGACATTGATTTGATTTGAAATCGCATGGGACTTGAATGTCAGCAAACCACAGCACAGCATAGCATTTGCCAGGGTACTACACCATAGACTGGCACTGAGCTTCGGATGCAGCAAATACACGCAGGAAAGGTCATTGGGGATTTCCATTAATCTGCAAATATACTGCTCGAAAAACAACTTGAGGTCCTTACCTTGGTGAACATTAGTCACGTCTCGCCCTGACTAATAGTATTTTCTTGTAGGGCTTCCATTGTCCCGAAACGAACATGCAGTCATCTAGCTGAAGTTAATGTCAGTTGTCAAGCAAACACTCTTTTCACAACAGCCAATCTGGGGCATAACGCTTTCATAAATAACAATTAACAGTGCTCTCCAAACAATCCCCTAGGCCATTAAGTTGGAAAATATATGGGAATGTATACTACTTAAACTACTTGCCGTAGTTTTCTCTATTGCTTTCAATGCTTAAAACAATATTCTATGAGATAAGCATAGTTTCGATGAATAATCGCACAGCTCGCGAACAGTGTCAAATAGTCGAGATTTCGGGCACGATATTATCACTTGCTGGCCATGATTTACGGACTGAAGCAACGGCAGATGGAGTTGGAAAATGGAAAATGGGGGAAATAGGGAGTGGGGGCCAGCAGCTGCGTGCCGCATAAATGTGAGCGTGGGCATGTCGCAAGGCTGCTATTGATTTTCCATCCTCAAACCAGTTTTCACTTCAAGCGGGTGTTGCTGAACGCGGAGGAGTCGAGGCCCCGACATTCCAAAGTTGGTTTAGATAGCGTTGTTAGAGTTGTTCGCCACAGCCATATCAAGTGGGCGGGCGGGTGGCACAAACTATTTGCTGCGGTTCGGCTTCCGCACGGGCTTTCCCAGCTCCCCAGCCCCCCTGGAAAAACTTTAACTGAAACAAGCAGGCCAATTGTGTTTGCCAAAGAGTTGCGACTGGACTCGACAATTTGCCGTGTGTGTCAGCAGAAGGTTCCGCTGCTGGTCCTCGATGGTGGGTGATGGATGGTTGACCAGTTGTTTGCCCAGAGGCGGGAAAAAACTAGCAATCGGTCAGTGCATCAATCAATCAATCGTTCAATGAAAACGTTGACGCACAGCTTGATTAAGCCGTGGCCAATCAGCAAAGCAAACATTTTGCCAAATGATTTTAGTTTTTTTTTCCCCCCAAAGTTTGTCGCTGATTTGCGGAACGGTTGCTCTCCTCATAGCCGACAAACACTGTGCTGCTCTTGCCATTGTCATGTAATTTGTATGCTTGCCTTGGCACGAAAACGGCAATGATTTTACAGGCTGCCTCAAAATCGCTGGGAAAAATCATATTATCCCAGAGCCATCATCATCAACATCGTCGCTGTCGTTATCATCGTAATAATCATTGTGGCAGGCTTCCCGGCCAGAGCAACAGTTTCGGCCCAGAAACAAATTGTTATGCTCCGCCTTGGAAATCCATTAGAGGCGGCAAACAGAGCCAAAATGGCGCCCCCAGCTTACTAAATACTAAACTGAGCAAAATCCGTTGAAGATATAAGATCTACATTTTGATTCCTTTTATAACTTCCACTTAAAGAAACTTCTACTTAAAGAAAGGAGTTTTCTTAATTTACTATAATTTAGTCCGAGAGGCTTAGCAAAAATTGATCAAGTAATTTTTTAAAATCTCATCTTTTTTAAATTGAAAATTAAGAATATAATTTAAAATACCAGTTTAGTTGCACTGACACGGCACAACACTAAGATATAATTAGTTTAAAGAATATTTTGTATGTTTCGCAGAACTAAGAACGTTGAGATAATTTATAAAGTTTGATTTTCTATAAAAATTGAAAATTTTTAATTTTTAATAACTGCTTTTCCCTAAAAAGCTATTAATTTTGTTAGTGTATCTATGTAGTTTTGGTGCGGAACGAATAGGGTCAGGAGGCAAGGCTTTTTTGAAGGCAGAGGCAGAAAAAGGACCTCAAATTAATGAGGAAAAATGAAATGGAAATTAAGTTCGAACGGGTCCACATGAAGATTTTCCTGACATGTTTATTATCCGGCTCGTATCTCTGAGATGCTCCCCCTTCACTTTTAAATTATTCACCTTTACGCACCTGATTATGCCCTTTGCCGCCTTGGCTCTTGGTGAATATTGCAGACACGCGTCACTTTGTCTTAATTGAAACCAGACTGAGAGTTCAAGCCAATGTGACAAGGATTAAGTACTACCCAATGTGAAGAGTTAATTGAAAGCGTTTCAATTTCATTTCTTGGCAATTTATTTCGACAACCAAATCCACACACACACACATTTACACACGTTCGCACGAGTGTGTGAGTGTGGGTGTTTCTGTGGCTGTTAAGCGGAAAATTATCATTTCCTTGGCCTTTGTTCGCACAGTCAATGGATCTCGACCATCTAAAAGAGGATGGGGGGAAAACGAAATGAAAGGTTTTCACTTTGGTTTCCGTGCTGACACAAAGCCGACATTGCTATGTGTATGTGTTGCGAATGTTTGTGTGCTTAGGTGCGTGACAACGGTAATTTAGATATCCCAATATCTTGTTCTTTTCGCGCGTCTTTTGTTTTCGCCACAAAAGTTGACTTAAGGCTCGCCTGTCAACGCCACTGCCGCCATTTTGTGATTCTGCCGTTCCCTGTCCTCCTTTTCAGCTGTTTTTTCGTTATTTATTGACTCTGCCTCTGCCTTTTCCTTTTCCTTTTCCTCTTTCTTTTTAATTTTTTTCGTCCTCTTTATGGAATTTTTATCTCTTTTAATTTATATATTCTCCGCCTGTGCCGCCATAGCAGTCACAATTTAATTGCCGCTCTGGGTTTATCAAGAAGCAAACTTCGCGTATTTTTCCCAGAATGCTGCTTGCATTTAATGCTCGACTTGGCTGGCTTAGAAATAAGCCTTATTTCAGCATTTCTCTGTATTCTTTATGGCTCGCTGGCCTTAAGCAAACTGCCTGCAGATCTGACCACCTCGACGGTTTACGGGGCGTATGCGCAATTTGATGGCACACACACGGTAAATCTAGACAGAAAATATGAAGAACAAAAAGCCCCATAGCTGGCGATTTTTTGTATTCTCAGACGTAGGATTAACTCTACTGCATCAGAGTCCTGCATAAACTTTACATTCATATGGATCCTTTTTTCGGTTTTTATTTTTTACCGGCAAAGATGAAGCTGCTGATTCTGCGGCATTGTGTGAATTGTTGGCTTTCAAGTGCCATGGCCAATGCACCTGCAACTGCAAATTTCTTTCCCCTATTGTTGTTCAATTGGGTTAGGGGTTGGTAGCTGCTGCCGGTTTCATGAATCAAACATGACCAAAATCTTGTTATTTGCAGTTTTCTTCCTCTGGTTTCTTTTATGTACACATGTGCGCGGCTTTTTTTTTGTTAGTTGGAAAAGTTGGAGCTCTCACAAAAAAAATACCAAGTTTCGCCACTGTTTGTGGCTGCTACGTATGCATGGCATAAGCTTTTGAGTGCCTGCCACTTTGCTCTAAGCCTTTAAAGCGCTGAATTTTCATTTGGGAGTTGTGCTGCGGTTATGCTGTGGTCTGTTGCTTTTAATTGGCGAAGCCATACATTAAATTAATTTCCCCAAAATGCTGTCTCTTTGGATCTTCTGTACTTGCCTCGACAAGCTGAACACTCAATTTTAAATAGACTGACCTATGAATCTTATCAAAAAACCGAAAGTCTTTCGAGTGCTTCGAGTCATGCTGATGATTAGGTACTTGATTGATTAGTTGCTAATTGCCGCCATTTAGATTGATAAGATATGAGATCCCAAACACAATTCTATTGAAACTTCTGGGAGTCCTGCATTTGTGTCGAATTGACAAATTCCTTCCATTCCATTCACTGGCCAGTGAATGGAGTCCCATAAATGAATGAGTGGCTTTTTATTTGTACAAAGGGACACAAAGTGAACTCTAAACTGAAATGGTAAGCAAATGTCAGGCGAGTGAAGCGAACAGTTTGAGTGATATTGACAAAGGCAAATCCCACTGCCCACCCTCGCAACTATGATGGGAACGAAACGTGACGGAAAAACTCAAGTGGCTGGCAGACTTGACTGGAGTCGCGAGTGCTCCGCTTTTCAATTGTTTACTCGCCCCCGTGTTGATTGCTTTCCTTGGCTATGTCTTTTAATACCCTAGCAGTGAGTAATACCATTTTATCAAATAGCTATGCAAAACCTAACTCACATGTTTGCTTGATGGCTAACATTAAACATGTAAATCTCAATTTTATGTTTGCATAAATATTTCCTAAGGTCCTGGTTATTGGGGCTCAAGAAGAACAAGTGAAATTAAGGTATTGTTAGAGTTAAACTTAGTATAGTCAACGTCCTGCAAGGGTAAACACTTTTGTTTTCCTCTGCGGTGATGCATGTCTTTTGAGTCGCGCAAAAGACTCAATTAGGCGTTAGACAAAAGACGGTGGACAAAGCCATGTGCTGCATGGCCCAGAAGTTGTCGCTAATTCGCAGACAAAGGACAACTGGCAAGACGAGGGGCCTCGGCGGGCTTAATCGATAGCAAAAAGAAACGAAACGAAACGAAAACGGAAAACAAACTGACGATTGTCACGGACTGCCCCCGTTCGTTGTCAAGGTAAGACCGCCCGCACACACACGGGCCGTATGCGTAATGTCGACGGGGCGTATGAGTTGAAGTAAAGTGTGAGCCAAGCTTGAAGCGGGCAAAACTGAATACATTACCGGCAATCAAGGATGGTGGCGCCAGTCTGGCGAGCTGCAGGATCCGCTGCCGATGCTGCTGACACAATTTTCGCCGCTGCAGAGCTGCAGCTGCAGATACAGACACACAGATACACGAAGCTGCCGCCGAATTTGCAGTTGAGCTTGCCACGAACACCCGGAGGCTGTTGAACCGGACCACTCTGAACTCTTTCGCCCGTGCTTTCACCCGTGCTTTCGCCTGATTTTGTGGGTCTATGCAGTTTTTGTGCACATTTTCCTTTATCCTTTTTCCTTTTTAGAGGCTCAGGCACAGGCTCGGCAGCGGCAGCGGCAGCTGCAGTTCGCTTTGCCAAAAGTGAGAAGCGGTGGCCGGTGCGACGCTCGGTGGTCGGCGGTCAACGGTCAGAAAACAGGTTCAAATGTCGGCGACCGCAGGCGCAGGTCCTGCCGTTATTCACGTTTGTGTGTATGTGTGTGTGTGTGTCTGTAAGTGCCGCACAACTTTCCCAAAAGTATGCAAAGATATTTAGCCTAGTTTCGGCTCTTCAACATCGTTGGTGCTTTTCTTGCTGCTGCTACTGCTGCAATTTCTTGGCATTTTCACTTACATTATTTTCTCAAATTTATTTCAAATTTTATTTATGGAAGATCATTTCACTAGCATTTAACACTGTTTTTGTTTTTATTGTTTTTCCTAACACAACTCACACCAGCAAATACCTCTGCATCTGTGTGTATTGTTGTGTAGTAAAAATAGTAAAACGCTCGGCACTTAAAATAGGAGAAGCGCAGCAAAAAACCGTTTGCCGCTGCTCTCTTTTATTGTTGGTGTTATTGTTTTGGTTGTTCTTGTTCGTGCTGCTGTTGTTGTTGTTGTTGTAATTTCCGCTGCTGCGTGTGGAAATCACGGGAAAAACGTTACACGCTCATACGCCGGATAATGAAAGACTAACCTGCGAAGCGAGCCACTAACCGACTGGCCGACTGGCCGATTGCCTCTGAAAAACCGAGTGCGAGCCGAAGGGCGCACGAAGCGCAGCCGAGCGGCGGGGGAGAGGTCGAAAGATAAGGATACCGAGTGCACAGGATAAGGAACGGAACGGCAATGGAACACGGGTTAGCCGATAACAACACTGCGTCGCTCTCTCGCCGCCGCCGCTTCACTCTCCGCTCTCCTTGGTTCGGTTTCCCAGTTTTCTCTCGGTGCAGTGGCGCATTTGACAGGGGGATCAGAGTTCGAGGCGTTGGGGCCAACACCACCCCTTAGAAGCAGCACCACCACCACCCAAAACCCCGCCACCCGCTGTCTTAGACAAGCAAGCGCGTAAGTTTTTGACGCCCGTGTTAAGTCGGTTGGAAAAAGTTTTTGCTGAGTCCATATATACCCTATACTGCAGGCACGGTCTATCAACAATACACTAAAAAAGTTTTAAATTAAGCTATGGTAGTTTGACTTAATAATAATTATTTATTAGCCAAACTATCTTGACGTAACATATATTTTAGTAGCTAGTTTTAAACAGGACGTGTTAAACAATTTTATACGCTAATTTATTTTTTGTACTAAAAGTACGTGGTATACAAACTAAACCTGATTTAAAATATTTCAGACTGACTGTCTGCTGTCAACTTTTAACAATAACCTAATTGATAGGAGTACAACCGAAAAATAGCGTTCTCTCTGTATAATTTGCATTTAGTTGATTACGAAATAATTGCTGGTTTTTTTTATTCAACAACACGTTTAAAATAAAAATAAATTATGCACTCTCAGTATATATTATAATTGTCTTGCCTTAGTTTATCCAACAATAAAAACTTAATACACATTAATTTGAACAAAATGAATAAAAACGGAATATGGATATATTAAAATTAATATTTTATATTTTGTGTGTGTTTCTACATTAATTATATGAAATTTGAGCTTTCCAAAGAAATGCCAATCAATTGATGGATAACATATGTAGTCTTAAAGATGTCTTAGTTAAAGCGATGTTCTTTAAAAAATTACAAAATTATTATAAATACAACATGGAAAACTGATAGAAAACCAAATGAAAATATTATGAAATGTACACTGGGATACAACAATCTTTAACATGGATCTATTATCAGTAATTATTAAATATATAGGCATATTATATTTATTACAGAAATCCCACTCATGCCCGGCCACGGTGTCGTAGGGCATCGCAGTGCCTTCAAATGTGGAATCCCGAACAAATGCTCTTTTAGCGATGGCGTCTGCGTATGCGTTGGGGACCCCGACAGTTCGGCGGCGGACGGGGAGCGAACTGCGAATTGCGAGCTGTGCGAGGCGTCGTAAAAATAAATAAGCAAAACGGAAATTAATAAGACCCAAATGTTGCCGCTGTCGCAGCGACCTCCTAGGCCATAGCCTAGCAATGGCAACAACGAAAAAGAAGCAAAAGCTGCATGCCATTGCTGTAAATACAGCCGTAGGTACAGACACACAAACAAGTATTGAAAACATTGGGAGTGTGCAAGTGTGTGCTCACAACCTTTTCTGCCTTTGAATTTGGCTTCCATTTTTTTGTTGTGCGCCTTTCTATTTGTATTCGTTACGGACATGAACTCATTCGGCCGGGGTGCACACCGGGCGTATGAGCAATATATTTATGTTTATAGCCCCGTTTCCAGTTTGTGTGTAGGCATTAAAATGTCGCGATTTTTTTGATTGAAGATGACAATTCAATTCAGTGGATGAATTAATGAGATCGTAAAAAGATGGAACGTTTACGGAATAACAATTTAAGATATATGTGCTATTAAAGTCCATATTGCCTAAGTAAGTCATTTTAGACGGATAAAATTTAATCTAAAGGATAGAAAATTAAAGTTTACCAAGTTGTTTGTTCTCTTTTAACATTTTCCTTAATTTAATTAAAGAACACCGAAATACATTTGGGAATAAAACATCTTGAATTGTTTTTTTTAAGTTTTATTTATGTAGTTTTTTATTTTAATCATTGTTTAAATCTACAAATACATTTACAGCGGAGGGCGAAAGAACAAAAAATTAAAAATGTTTACTCATTGTTTTGTTGTTACATGCAAATTTTTACTTCTGCGTGTTGTTGACAAATTTTGTGTGGTTTTATTTTTGTTTCAAGTTCTTGCTTTTACCATCGAACGTTTATATAATTCTGCATTTGTTTATAAATATTTGTAGTCCATATTATGAGTTATTTATCTTTTGTTTTTGTCCTCGTTTGGTTTTTCTTTTGTTTTGCTTCGTTTTTTAGTTTAGTATCATATCTCTTTCACATCAGCATCCATCGATCAATATTATTAATTATTCAATATAATTTGTTAACAACTAATAATAATAATTTTGTTTAGTTTTTCATTTTCTTTCATAACTAACATGCCATAATTATCGTTATCTCCAATGCTAATGATCATATTCACTAAGTTAGAAAACAAGACAGTTGGAAAACAAAAACAGCAGCGAATCAAACTCGTATGCCTGGGCGTATCTCTCTGCGTGGGTGTGACTGTCGGTTGTTCTAGCCGATCTTATTGAATATCCACATATATCGCTTTCTGATTCATTTCTCACAGTTCAGATATCTCAATTAGCCAGCGGCCGCTGTGTCAGACCCACTCATTTGATAACGACAATGCCAAGCTTTGTAATTCGTTGAATTTCAATGTGGGTGGCCAACAATTTGACCGCTCAACCGTTCGTTACTGCCTCTGCGCCAGTGTTTATGTGTGTGTTTGCTTTTGGGGAGGCGTGTGCGGGCGGGGAAAGCGATAAAAACAAAGAAAAAAGTAAACACAATACTGCCTTGGGCTTGCCCCATTTTGGGGCGCTGTGCCGTGTAAAACTTACAAACATTTATTTTGAGGGCGCCTTTTTGTATTTTGTTTGGTTTTGTTTTGTTTTTTGTTCTGGGGCTAGGTTTCGGTAACGATATCTTTATCTCGACATCGAAATCGGGGGACTTAACCCCTCCGTATCTCTGCATCGGTTCTTTTGGGCTTAAATGCACACAAAGCATAATATTGCATGTCAATTGGTTTAAGGAGTTTATTTATAAACATTTAGTTGGTTTCTTTAGATTTTAACGAACTCTTCTCTGCAGATTCTCCGCGAATAGCCGGCGGGCCTCCAAACATCGCTCAGGGACCCATCTCCGGCGCAGATTCGTCGATTTCGTTAAGGATTCAATTTTGTTTTTCTTTTTCTTTTTCTGTTTTGGTTTTTTTTTGTTTTTTGGTGTATTGTATAGCTCCATTTATATAATCAAATTTTCCATATAATATATGTGTGTATATATATAAACAATTATATACCTCGTGTCGGTTCACATTTTGTCTTGTGGTTTTTCTGTTTATATATATATTTCGTTCTTCTGCGCTAAGCTGCGTTTTCACACACAAGTTTGCAAATTAAGTTCTGTTCATTTTTTGTTTTTGGTTGTTGTGGTTTTTATTGGGGTTTACTCTTCACGGCTTAATTGGTAACTACGCTAAGGTTTTTCATTGTTTTATTTTCCTCTTTTACTTTTTTATTTATTTCGTTTTATAATTTCTCTAAACTTCTTATATACTTTGTCTCGTCATGCGTTGTGTATCGGTGTGTGTAGGTGTTTGTGAGTGTGTCTGTGCGAGTGTGAGTGTGTTTGAGAATGCCTCTAGCTTTTCTTTTGGGATCTTGTTATTGTATAGATAAGCTTCGGCTTAAATAATCGTTTAATCCAGCTCGTTACGTTAATAATTTTACTAAAAACATGGTGTTGTTACTGTTTGCTTAGTTACTGGTTGTTCTTGTCTGGTTGTGATTGGTGTTTGCTTCGAAATTGTTGTTCGTTTTTGTTTTGTTTTGTTTTATTTTCATTTATACTTTATTTAAATCTTATTTTTAGCTTTAATTTATAATTTAAATTTACTTAACGTTTAAAATAATTATCGCTTGCATTTTTGTTTCTCCTCGGTTACTTTAAATAATTAAATTAAAAAAATAAAATATATCGTAATATGTTTCTGCCGTAGCTATCTGTAGCTGTTGTTGTTGCCGTTGCTGCTGCTGCTGTTGCTATTACTGTGGTTGTGTGGATTTTGTGGTTCATAAACATTACTATTTGTTGCTCTCCATAGTTTCTGGGTGTTTCTCCCTGTGGCTGAGGCTGTGGGTGTGTTTCTGTGTGGTTGTGTGGGAACATGTGGCTGTGTGTGTGGGAGTGTAGCAGTGTGGGTGTTTAATAGTATGTCTCCTGCTCCAACCAGCCTCCGGGGTTGCGACGCAAGTAGAAGCGACGGGTCTCGTCATAGATGAAGATGGCCAGCGCAAATGGAATAGCCGGGAACCACCAGACGAGTCTAGGTTTTCAAGGGAATAAATGATCATTATTTAGACACCTTTAAAGCGTTTCAACCTCTTCAGGATCACTCACTTTAGGGGGTACATGCGCAGACCCTTCTCCATGCCCGGGCAGTACGAGAGGAACGCGGCCAGCACGGTTTCGAAGATGAGGCCAAAGTTCAAAGCCCAGTTGCGCATGCCCTGCTGGAAGATGGAGTTACGACGCGTCTTACAGATGATCAGATCGGCCCATTGCACAACCACAATCGAGATAAAGAAGGCCGTGTGGCAGGTGTACTCCAAGGTCTTGCGGTCGCGGTAGGTCTATTGAAGTAAGGAAATACAATTAGAACTGCTTCACCAATATGTTCATAAAAACCGTTTTTGGTTAGCTATTCAAATATTTATCATATTATATACATTTAAAATTTCGTAATTTGCATCTTCTCGGAAGCGACTATTTAAATCATTAATCATTAATCTTTTGCTGATTTATTTTTATTTTTTTGTTGATGCTTGTACGAACAAGTAATTTGTGAAAGATGGATTTCGTTAACCAATGCTTTTGAAATATATAATTTGTATTTGTAAAACTCGTTTTTATTTCAAAATTG